GTTTTACGCACACTCAACCAAGGGGGAGAGTTTTACACACACTAATGGACACTCACGTCCACTGTATCAACGAACTGACACCTACGCATGCGCATCACCACGGAGGCACAGTGACATACTCTGTCATAGATCTAGCCTTGACAACACCACGTATAGCACCACTCGTTACACACAATGTTCAATAGGACCCCTTTTTTTGGTAATTACTGCCCAATCCACACAAATTTAACGGTCCCATCAAGGCAAGTAGACTTTAAATGTCTTCCCCAATGGGATGTGCGCAGAGCGGAATGGGCATCTTTCCAAATGTATATTGATGAGGCACACCTTCCAGGCTCAACTCCCGTCTCCCTGCATCTCTTAACAATATTTTAGCCTCAGCGCACCAGTTGGCTCCACACACTCACCGTCGACCAGGGCACCAAACATGCATCCTGGTGGAACGATGAGTGTCAGCACGCAGTAGCCCTGCGACGTCGGACTATGCGTGCCTTTCATAGTTGCATTTGCATAGCTCATGGAGAGGAGTTTCGCAGACCTAAACATCAAGCCGATCTAATCATTAAACGCGCGGAACAGGAAAGCTGAGAGCAATTTTCAAGTGCGTTCAATCGCTTTATCCCCCCCCCCCCCGTCTAAAACAGTGTCACTGATTTGGTGTTTCACAAACAAACGCACGCCGCATTATAAAACCCAGCACCTTGTAGTCGGCAATCAACATTACAGACTCCTATTCGAAGTCGCCACAAATTTGCCGCACACTTCACCCGTGTGTGATCATCCGAACAGCATTCCCAACAGATCACTACCACACTCAACACCGCGCTGCCCGCACTCAGCTTCGCGCCTGCTAACACTGAGACATTCAGCGTACTCTTCGCACCCTATAAATCAGACCTTACGACTAGTTAGCGTGGAAACACTTCTGTCGGTTCAGACCAGTTAGCCTGCCCCTTTTTTAGTTATCTCACTAGGTCTGGACACGCCAATCTTCTGTCGGCTTTTAACGATACGTGGGTAATGAATCGTTCCCTCCCTCATGGCACTCTAGCACACTTATCCCTATGCTTAATCCTTCTAAGCTTTCCTCTGACCATTCGAGCTATCGCCCCATCTCGCTTACCAGCTGTGCTTTCACCTTTACAGAACGGCTTTCGTCCCGGCCGCTCCACGGCGGATAGCCTGGTCCGCATTATAGATTCAATTTAGCTCGGATTTCAGATTAAATCAAGTACGGTAGCACCCGTCGTGGATTTAAAGGCCGCTTTCGACAGGGTAACTACAAGTGCCCTCCTCATTACACTACATGAAATCGGAGTTCGCGGTTGGCTCGCCGCTTTCATTAAAAACTTGATAACTGATAGGACGTTTTCTGTGCGTTGCGGAAAAACTAATTCTTCTCCGACGGCGCAGGATCACGATCTTCCTCAGGATAGCGTCTCATCCTCAACCCTCTTTCTTGTAATGACCAAAGATGTTTTCAATAATATTAATAACATTTCTCCACATTTTCATTATTCTCTATACGCGGACGACCTGCCTGTGTGGCATACACATGCTAATGTTGATCACGTACTGCATTGTATAGAATTAGCTATAAATGATATTCACGCATGGTGCACACGATGGGGACGGCAGATTTCCCCCGCGAAGTAAGCTGTAACTATCTTCTCTAGGCAAGATCATGTTCAACGTCCCACCCCCACCACCTGAATCTTAATGGTGAGCTAATCCCTTTAGCTTACAGTTTTAAATACCTTAGAATAAAATTAGATCGCCGTCTATTTTCAATGCTCATTTTGCTGACCTTAAGCAACGCTACCCCAGACGAGTGAACATAGTGAAATGCATAGCAGGACGGGAGTGGGGCTCCGACAGGCGCGCTCTCCTCCACCTCTCTACCTCCCTGATACGCCCGATCTTGGACTAAAATGACTTTTTGATGATATTTCTTTCAAAAAAGTAGAAACCTTGGAGACCATCCAGAACGCAGCCCTCTGCGTAGTGACTGCTGCACTTCGGACCACCCCGGTCTGAACTCTGCTCGCGGACACGAATATCCCCTCCCATCACACCGATGAAAATTGCAACTTCTCAGATTTTATGCAAGAGCCACAGCGCACGTTGGTAACCCCGCATACAACGCCCTCGCACACCTCCGCCCCAACCGCACACTTACCAACGGGGGACTCCAGCATCCAACCACCAGCACTCGCGTTATTCGAGCGCAACGAGCGCTTAATCTCCCAGACATCCCCTGCAGCCCAACGCCCAGTCCCCCAACCTTTTGGGGCGACCCTATACCTACTGTGATCTTTCTGTTTAAACACAAAAAACGAAACGTATCAGAAACCGAAGTGCGTGCACGCTTGCCTGAATTCAAAGGAGAACATGACCAGCACGCTTTTATTTATAATGACGGCTCCCGACGCGATGGCCGCACAGAAGCTGCCTTCGTACATCATAATTACCACAAATCAAACCGTCTGTCAAATCACAGTACTGTGTATACGGCTGAACCAACAGCAATCCTGGCAGCTCCGCTTTACATCAAGCAAGGTAGCCTACAAAGGGCAGTCATATGCACCGACTCCCGTTCATCGTTAGAATCTCCCATCACTCTATATAATTGAGTCCACTCAGTTCTAAACGGCGTACGACGAGCGCTCTGCTCCCTTCCTCTACAAACTCACGCGATATTTCTCTGGATACCTGGACACGCAAATATTCATGGAAACAGCACTGCTGACGAGGAAGCAAAATGAAGTCTCATGTTTCCGGAACGCAATCATCTTCATTGTCCCGTTTCTGACATCCTTGCAGTCATCAATTTACATTTTCGTCTCTTTCTCCAAACCAAATGGGATCAACGCGCTCATCAACACCATGACCCAACCAAACCAATACTTCAGCACTGGCCGGCAATTAATTAATATAATCGCCTCAAGGAAGTGATGCTTGCCAGACTGCGTATCGGTCACACCAAAATCACCCACTACCACCTTTTCGAGCACATTCGTCCGCTGTGTCATCGCTGCCAGATCCCATCCACAATAAATCACTTCCTCCTCGTGTGTCCGGTATATCAACGATCAAGACAACCGCTCATCAATTACACCAACGCTAATCGGCTTCCATTCAACCTCCATTCTCTCCTCAGTGATTCTTATTCTGATTTGCTCCCTCACCTCTTGAAGTTTTTACACAGTACAGGACTAGATAATTTAACTTCAAGAAAAGGGGTTTCCTGCATGATTTGGCAAAGGTTGCAGGTTTTCCCTATTGGCTAGAAGTCCCGGTTTTTCCTAGTTCGGATTTTCCAGAGCTCAAAAACATCGCACAGCGCTAAAAGGTCGCGCCGGGCAGCGGAGCCCGGGACTGATCTCCCCGTCGCGGCAATGAAGCGGCCCGACATCTATATATCGCACAGGTCGCCGACAAGTCAGCTGAGCCAAGGCCACCGCCAACACAGACACCACACACAGGACTCGCGGCACCCGAGGAGTCTGGTGGAAGGGCCGGTGAAGAGGCTCACTCGTCGTTCAAGCATACTGAATGTGTGCTGTGTCGTGATAATATATATATATATATATATATATATATATATATATATATATATATATATATATATATATATTGCTGCGGTCTGCTTTACTTGCTATGATCTTGCTGGGCAAAAATGAGACAGGTTATCGTAACGTCACTTCAAAATATCCTCTCCCTTGCTTTGCGCCGGACAGCATAAGCCGGTTGAACGTAATCCTTGCCTGGCCTTATGACGGAAGTAAACTTCCCTCTCGAATGCGGCTTAAGGTCCGTCGAGAGGAGAAAAGAGGTCTTGCGTTGGCCCACAAAAACCCGACGGTATATTGTTAGAAGTGCCACATGTGGCCGAACCAGGAGGAATTGGACGCGATTGGACAGCTTACATCAGATCATAGAAGACCAGGATGAGGCTGGGCAGAACAGAAAGATCAGGAGCGAGAGGCCGTAATATATTAGGGTAAGGAAAAGGAGATTAGAAATTGGGGTTGGTTAAGGCAGGGTTAGAAGCGGATAAGGGAAAGGGAAGCTGCAAGGAGACCATCTTAAGTAGTTGCATTTGATTTTCTAATACCAAATCGATGGCTGATGATCTGAATCGTGACGTGGGCATTCATATTTGTGCTTGTATTTGTCAGTGATGTATGCTCCAATGAAATTCCGGACACTAGCTGTTTGCTGGAGCAATACAATCGATAAAACTTTAAAATACCGCATCAGGACATCGGTGGGCAAACATAACTGCCACCCGCGATCTTAGCCGCAAGATTACGGGCGTAAACATCGGCAATACATCCTCACGCATCCAGGTGTAGATGGCTATTTTTCGCGTGATGGCATCAATGTGACTTCATGTACATACATTCATATTAAGCCTCATGTAGCAATTCATTTTGATTTAGCCACTCAGGGTTCATAGCACTACACCGCTGTAACCTGACCTGCTACCTGGAAATAATGCCCGCTTGGTTCGGTTTATCAACCTGCATTTTCGTAGAAAACATATTTTCTGCAAGAATGTCACATGCCAGTGACTCTAGAAGCGTGATTATTTAAATCCACATGAACGTCACCTAGCCTAGACGCTAAGCTTTTCACACGAATAGCGAGGGTGATTGTGCAGCAACGCAACACTCAACAATGACACGCCACTAAAGCCTGCCGTGATCGGCGATACATTTTAACGAGGCTTGGGCGCTCCTGTGAGAGGGACATGACTTGATCCACCTTCAGGCCGCTTAGCTCAAACACGAAGCTTCCGCATGCCTCACAGGTAGCGCGAGAAAGTGTACAGCGACTCGCGGGCTTCAGTGGTCGACAGTGAGCCGGCTACTAAAGCCCGCCAGGCTGGGCGATCCAGCCGAGCGCCAGCAGGAGTGCGATGAGACGGAGATGAGCGGCGGCCGGCCGAGGCGCGCCGGCCTCGTCGGCCCCCTCCAGCCGCGGTCGGGCGTCACACTCGTCAGCGTAGCGGCAGAGGGCGTGCGCCAGCTGGCGGTACAGCGGCGCGTGCAGCTCGAAGAGGAGCCGGTGCGCACCGACGGTGCGCCGCAGCGCCACCACCGTCGGCCAGTGCACGGTCTCGGTCGGCTGCCGGTCCACGCCGCCGCTGAACACGGTCAGCGTGCTGTTGGGCAGCCGCAGCAGCAGCCACTGCAGCCGCTCCAGACTGGCGCCGCGCAGGAACGAGGCGCGCACGGCCAGCGCCGGGCCGTGCCGGCCGGCCAGCGGCGCCGCCAGCCGACGCATGGCGCGCACGGCCGACCACGAGTACACGCCCGCCTCCTCCGGCACGAAGCGCGTCCACCAGGCGAGCGAGAGAGTGACGGCCGGCGGCAGGCGGCGCGTGGCCAGCGCCACCAGAGCGCTGCTGTTGCCGGCGCGCGGCCGCGTGCGCACCGGGCCCGGCAGCACCTCGGCCGCCAGCCACACCGGGAAGCTGACGTTGGGCAGCCGGGCGCACAGCACGGGCAGTACGGCAGCCACCTCGCCCACGCCCGTCAGCTCCAGCTTGAGCGCCACGCGCACGCCGCCGCCGGCGGCCGCCGAGCGCGCGATGACCAGGTCGAGCAGCTCGGTCAGCGCCAGGTCGGAGAAGCGCGCGTCACGCCGCTTCACCACCGGCACCGTGTCGCCGTGCAGCCGGCCCAACAGGAAGCCGGCACCCACGGAGGTGGCCAGCATGAGCGGCGCGGCCGGCCGGCGGACGGCGAGACGCAGCGCCCGCTCCAGCTGCAGCCGGCCGGCGATGCCCGTGACGACTGTCAGTCGGCTCAGGTCGGCCGCCGTGCTCGGGAAAAACTCGGCGAGCGGGGGCGGCGCGGCCAGCGTCCGCACGCACAGCAGCGCCGCCCAAGCCGGCCACCACCGAGCCATGTCGCGCTGCGCCGCGGGCCGGGCGAGGACGGCGCTCCGTCACCCGCAGCTGTGTGCAGGTCCGTCAGGCTGACTCACAAGAGCACAGAGGTCGCAAGAGCACAGCGGAGTCGCTGGGTCAGTTCTAGCTCCACCTGAGCGGCCACGCACGTGGAAAGCGCCACCGCGCGCGGGCTGCTGTCTGGCTGGCGTGGAACGCTGGGCGGGGAGAAGCAGCTCACCTCGTGAAGACGTCCCCGACCCGTGATTCCACACAGGTCTACACGCCCATCCCACCACCAGACGCCACGTACCCTGAAGGAGTGGTCTGCCCCCGCGTGACGCCCCGTCCCGTGTGGAGCGCCGCCGCAGCGCTAATGCGCGGTGCGAAGCCGCGGTGCTCTACTGGTGCAGCCAGACGGCGTGTTTTGACAGACCCGCCGCCGGTTCAAAAGGTCGTCCGGACAAAGTGTTTGGCGCGGCTCTGCGTCCAGGCGTTTGAATTAGAGACGGCGACGATCACAAGTGTCACGGATTGCCGAGCTTCATGCGATCCGTTGTGGAGCTTTTCCGATATCTTGTACGGCAGCGAGGTCCTGGGAGTAAACAGATGTCTTCGTCGATAGCCTGTTTCGTTTGGTTCACGTGGCGCAAGACTGCAACCGGCGCAACAGCCTGTGATGCTAATAGTCATCCTTCATGGGGATCAACGGCTGCGGGACATCAAACTGCCATGACTGTCATTTTGAGAACCATTCAACGTCATTTAGCATGCTACGCACGTCTGGATAACTGGATAAAAACATACCTTGGTGAGCAAGCCAAGGCATTGCGAGTGAAGAGCTCTGATACCGTTGGTGCTGATCGGACGCCGATCCGCACCGGATGACCATCAGCTCTCGATGCGGCCGCACTGAGCCACACATTGTCCACGCAGTACTCTGTAGCGTACCAGACCTACAGCTTGCAGTTCGCAGAGGCGACAGCAACCATAGGTTGGCGTGTATTGATTAAGTAAGCAGCAGACCGGAGCAGGAACTGGGGCATGCAGTTGGCGACGATAAAAACATGGTTTTGGGTGGTATTAACAGCGGTCCCGACGGGCTGTTCCAGCCATACCAGGTGGCAGACATACAAATATAGGGAAAGGAAACACTACACCACAGATCACTGTTATCTTCGTCAAAATCCCGGATGAAGCACGTCTAGCAAAGGGTCATTGTCGATCGAACCCCAAAGCAAATGATTACAAAGCACATACAAAATCGGCCTACCCGACTCCTTAGAAGTAGAAAGTACACAGATGTCTAGATAAATCCTCTTCAACATTTATCACATCCTAGATAATTTTCTTATCCGCTGAAGGAATACGGACGCCTCACGCCTTCACGCACTCCAGCCCCACATCCGGGGCACGACCCGCCCCGCACCGAGCACGCGTCCACTAGCTGCGCGCCTGAGAGTATACACGCTGACACGGACCAGCGCTAGACCGGCTGACGGACCGGGCGCTGCCGGGCGCGACGCTTCTCCGCCGCCCGGCCGCCTCTAGAAAACAAAGGGCATTATCACTCGGAAGGTCCACTCGCGGGAGCCCGAAACATGACCTTCCTCACACACGAGGCACTAAGTTGGAAGACAGGACCCCCGACTAGATATCGCCGACCAGGCTGAGATCGCTAGACGCTATTGCACGAGCGCGCACCGATCGTGCCGCGAGCGGCCCCGAAGCGGCCGCCGTGCCGGACCGTCCGAGCGTCCGGGAGACGCCGACCGGGCCTGCGGTGCCGCACCGTCCCGGACCGTCCATGCGTCCGGGAGACGCCGACCGAGCCTGCCGCACCGCGCCGAGCCGCCCCGACCCACCGCCAGGCAGCACCCGGAGTCGGGCACAGGGAGTCGCCGGCCCAACGCTCCGCCAGCGAATCAACACAAGCCGCCCCAACACCGCCCACCCGCCGCCGACGTCCACCGATGACAGCCGGGCTTCGCAGTCGGCACCGCCGGCGGGCGCCCGGGGGGGGGGGGGGGGGGGAGACAGCGCTCTGGTCCGCCGCGCCGCTCCTCTTGGGGCCGCCGCCACCTTCCGGCCGGCGGCGGACATCCGCCACCAGCCAGCTGACTGTCACACGGGGAATGGGTTTATGGCGGCCGCAGTGACCAGCACGGGGTCACTGCAGCGGCGCGGCCTCACTGCGCCGCAACGCATCCGAGTCAAGGCGCTCGCTGTCCTCACACAGCTCGGTGCAAGCTGCGCCTGCAGCAACGACAACAGAACAAGTAAACCTTACCATGGTACGAACGCGCGGTCTATGTACAGGTAATCTCGGTCGGATCACTACAGCGTATTAATATCAAACGGAAAACACCCTTCAGCGCCTCCGGCGGCGCGTAGCACAGCAGCTGGGTGGGGACGAAGCGCCAGGCAGGGAAGGACGCGCTCAGCAAGGCTGGGCCGACCCGGCCGCTCGTGCGGCGGCCGGGCAGCCACGCCACCGACGCAGGCCTCGCCTCTCCCGGCGTGGCGGCGGCCCGCCGAGCTCCCGCCGGGCGGTCGCGTCGCGGGCTCCCCTACCGCCGCCGCCTCTGCCTCACACGAGCCGGCCGCGTGCCGGCGAGCGGCGCCGCGCGCTGCGGCGTCCCCGGCTCCGCCGTCCGGCCGGGCCGGCCGCGCTCGCTCACGTCGGCAGCCAGCGGTGGACCAGCGGCGCCAGCAGCGCCAGCCAGCCGACGGCCAGCGGCACGAGCCGCGTCGCGCCGCTCCTGCCACACATGTCGATGTTCTCCTCCTGCAGCAGACGCACGGGGAGTCCGTGTCAGTGTGACGGACTCGCGCCTGCAGCAGGCGCACAGGGAGTCCGTGTCAGTGTGACAGACTCGCGTCCGTGCCTTCCAGCTGGCGTCTCTGTCTCTCAGTCATGGAAGAACGGGATCGCAAGTCTGCGTTGAGGAAGCGGCCGCGAGCGTGGCGACACCCACCTCTGCGTGGTAGCTCTGGCAGGACTGTGGCCGCCTCCGGTACGGCTCGAGCCGCTCCCGCGCGCACTGCGTGCCGTTCTCGTACTCCCACTCGTGCGCCTCGATCGAGATCATGTCTCCCTCGCACGGGCATAGCGTGTTGACCACCAGCATCATCAGGTTGGTGTACGGCACCTTCTCCAGCACAAACTGCCTGCGGACGCAGGCGGTAGCCGGACTCAGCATAGGCGAGGCTGGCCGACAGCCGGAAGGCAGCCCGAGCAAAGCGCGTGGGGCTCGGCTAAGCAAGACTAAGGAGCGGCGAGCCTCGCGGCAGTGGCTGGTCGCGATGCCCCGCGATCGAAGGCAGTCACATCGCGGAGTTTACTTAACCAGCAACATCGTGTGATTTATGTGTCCTTACGCGGGAGCATACAGACATAGTTACATCTGGATAATATTAAGCCGGTACACATATGCTAAAAACAAGACGAAAAACCGAACGGTAGTTACCCGTCGCAGAAGCTAGCTGACTCGTCACGTAGCACCGATTCCATAAAATCTTCCACGCACCTGCTACACGAACTGCTGTCGATACCGTAGCAGTGCTCCAGCGAGGCCTTGAGCGGCTTGGTGTTGTGGTTGAGCGTGTACAGACCGACATGCTTGTCGCATGGGCGCGGTCGCGTTTTGTTGATGTGCGCCATCTTGAAGAGCTGATGGCTGTCGGCGACTTGGACACAGGTGTGCTTGCTGTCGTAGTCGTACATGGCGTCGCCGTCACCGCCGGCTCCGTGATCTGGAGGGCGTTCACACCACCGTCTGTCTCCGGACCAGCCGTCGACCCAAACACACAGCCCTTACCAGGCAGACTGGTTTACGTTGGGCACGCAGCAAATGCAGTGCGCGGGAATTAGATGTTGGAATACTCGATATGAACAAGAGGGGCATTAAGTTCCTCTTTTCTCCAGTAAGTGAACTGCAGGGTAAACCCACGTAGCAGCGCTTGCAAACACCAGCGGCATTAGAGCCAGACAAACTGCTCGTGAGCACCGCTTCATCTCAACTGACACGACACGTAACCCCCGCAGCTCGCTGACACCATGCCCGGCACGGCACGACAGCCGGCCGATGGGCCGCGCTCACCCATGTTGTCGTTAACGACCGTCTCGGCGGCCCACGCCAGGTTGATGTCGAGCAGGTGCAGCAGGTTGGACTGGACCAGCAGCCAGAGCATCTTACCGCCCAGCCAGCTGGCGAACCACTGCAGATACCGCAGCGGCTGCCGGCCCCGGCACAGAGGCAGTCAGCCGCGGCGTTCGGCACGGCACGCGGCGTGATGCCGTGCCGACCAGCCGGCCCGCCGACGAGGGCGGCCGCGGCATGGAACACAGCTTCGCAAGCTTCACGAGCAGCTTCACCGAAGACACGTCAGTGCTGGAGAGACGATTTCACGATAGACATGACAAACAGCTCTGGGCAGATCCCTTCAGCGTGAACACGAACGCTCTCCGCAGGTGACTCCACAGCGAAGCAGTTCGAGGCAGATGGCGTTATGAGCGCAAAAGCATCGGTAAACAGCGTGAATGCTTAGCACAAGCTTTGTCGTCAGATAACTTCCCGCCGAGGAGGTCAGCTAACCGTCAGCAGAGTCCAGGCCGAGCTGCCGGTGGACACGACGTCCAGACAGACGCCCTGGTAGTCGAACATGGTGATGCGCCTGTACACGTTGTGGTTGAGCAGAGCGTTCATGACAGTGCCGTCGACGTCGCCGAAGAAGCGGCCCGTCTCCTCGTGCCGTTTGGAGACCACCACGAAGCCGGAGTCGTCGAGCAGGTAGCAGTCGAGGTCGTCCGAGGCGCACGTCTGCGAGCAGTTGCCCAGCGCAGGACACTGCGGACAATGTCCGGGGCCGGTCAGAGGCGTCCGATCACGGACGACCCGGCGACGACAGCACACCGGCCAGAACATAGTACACAACACAGGACACCGCCCAGCCCCCTGGACAACAAGGCTTGCCACATAATCCACGAAAGGACATCCATGACACAAACAAATCGCCACACCAAAGCATGTCAACAGCGCTTTAAGGCGCGGCATATATCACAATACCAGTTTTCCAGGGCTGGACTTGAACGAGGCCGAGCTTAACAGGCGATCAAACGACCATCTCAACCAAGATGGCGTGCCGCATCGCTCCCACCTCCGCGTCCGGCCGTCACTCACGTTGGCCGTCGAGAGGAACTTCTCGCGGAACCGCGAGTGCAGGAACTGCATGCCGACCACGGCTGCCGGCGTGCGCTTGCTGCCCTTGCGCAGGAACAGCGCCTGCGCGCCGGTCACCAGCGACTCGTTGCGCAGGCCGGCGTCGAACGGTACCGAGTACACGAACGCAGTCGGGTCGTGGTCGTGGTAATCGACGGCCCGCTTGTACCAAACCTCGTCCGTGGCACGGACGCCATTGAACTTCCTGCCGGAGGGCCGGCGGCGGCGTGACATGAGGCACGGCGCAGGACGGCGCGGCGCAGGCGATCACGGTGCATGTCACGGATCGGGCAGCCGCAGTCACCGGTCAGGCAGTGGTGGCACCGCTGCAGTGGCGGTCTTGGCCAGTGACAATCTAGCAGTTCTCCACAGCGCAAACGATGTTGGTGCGTCATATGTAATGGGACGTATGCAGGTAATCGTGTGTGATGGGACGTATGAAGGCGACAGTGTGTGATGGACGCATGCAGGCAACAGTGTGTGATGGACACGTACGGGTAAAAGTGTGTGATGGACGCATGCAGATAACAGTGCGTGTTGGGACGTATGCAGGCAGCAGTGTGTGATGAGACGCATGCAGGTAACAGTGTGTGATGGGCGCATGCAGGCAACAATGTGTGACGAACGAAAGCAGGCAACAGTGTGTGGTGGGACGTATGCGGGTAACAGTGCGTGATGGACGTATGGAGCTAACAGTGTGTGATGGGACGTATGCAGGTAATAGTGTGTGATGGAGGTATGCAGGTAACAGTGTGTGATGGACGCATGCAGGCAACAATGCGTGATGGGACATTTGCAGGTAATGATGTGTGATGGACGCATGCAGGTGACAGTGTGTGATGGGCGTATGCAGTTAACAGTGGGTGAGGACGCATGCAGGTGACAGCGTGTGATGGGGCGTATGCAGTTAACAGTGTGTGATGGACGCATGCAGGTTTAAGTGTGTGATGGGACGTATACAGTTAACAGCGTGTGATGAACGCATGCAGGTAACATCGCGTGGTGGGACGTATGCAGGCAAGTGTGTGCGCGTGTGATTGACGTATGCGTATCCCACTGTGTGACGGGATGTATGCAGGCAACAGCGTGTAATGGGACGTATGCAGGCAACAGTGTGTAATGGGACGCATGCAGACAACAGTGTGTGATGGGACGCGTGATCCAGCTATGCACGAGGACATACGAAAACAGTACACCACGGGTGGCTACGGCTTGCCCCGATGACGACGTTCTTAGCGTGTTACACGGACGATGTTACACGGAGACGACGTTCTCAGCGAGTTAATCTGTACGGTACTTTAACACGCACACGTCCTTAAAACGTCGGCCGCTCGTTGCTCATTAACATGGCAGCACCGTCCTCACCAGCACGCCAGCTGCGGCGCGCGGCCGGCCGGCGGCAGCGATACTTACATATCCTCGCGGTCGACATCCATGTCTCGGGGCCAGTGAGTCTTCCAGCGCGTGAAGCCCGAGCGGGTGGCCACGAAGCTGTGCGCCGCCCCGAATGTGTGGAACAGACCCATCCTGCAACGGAGCAGCAGCTGATGCACGCCCTCCTCACAGGGCGGACTGCTGACGTCACGGCACACACGCCCCTCCCGCTCCGGGCCGCGGCTGCACCGCATCGCTGCAGCGTAAGGCACGAGTGAGGCTCTGGAGGCGGCGTGGGCCGGACCAAGCCTCGACACGCCGGTTTTAATCGCTGCAGTTTGCGGTACAGTCGCTTTCTGGATCAGGTTAGGCGGTGTCTTGTCGGCGGCAGTGGCATGAACAGCCATGCATGCGGCGTCAGACTGAAGCTGTGGGGATACCACTGCTGCCAGCGCTGAAAACGGCCGCGAATGTTACGGACACAACGATGGTGGCTGCGTTGCCGTCGGTGGGATGCGATGCAAGTTCCATTTCAGACACCACGAAACCCAAAAGCGAAGTCCTGCTAGTGCAACTGTGCATGGCGCCGGAAGGTAGCACCGAAGGTATGCATGACAGCTGCAGCCACAGTACCCATGAGCAGCGCCTGTCTCGCTCCGCCGCACTACAGCGGCAGACAAAGCAGGCGCGCCACCAGCCTTACAATGATTTCCTGGCTGCACTGGAAAACAAACCACACACGTTGTGCGGTTTCAGACCGCATCATTGCCTATGGTCCCTTGCGCATGTTGCAAGGCTGCTAACTCGAGCAGCCATCCGCGCGGCTGGCATTCCTCTCTCAGGACCTTGGGAGCGCCGGCCCAAAGCCCGCGGGCTGACACTCTCAGTGGGTTGCTGCCTCCTTGCCACAGTCACGCTGCGCTACACTGCCGGCGGCGGCGGCGACCGGAGCGCCTTTCGTATTCGCTGCGGCACGCCATCTGGTGGAAACTGTCCAGGAGTGGTGCCGTGGTGGTGCACTGCTTTGGCTTCGCGCCCGTAGTGAGGGGTTGTGAGCACTGGCCACAATGACGGTGGCCAGGATTGAGCTGAGCCGTGCAGAACTGGAGATCGATGTCGGCTGTTGCATGCCGTATATGCGCGACATATCCCAATGTTGCCGTGAACACTCCACTCCGCACCAGGCCTGCGCGAGCGCCACGTGCAGGACGGCTCGGTCGGTTAGCGGAACAGCACAGTGTTCAAGCTGTCCACGTTGGCCTTACGATCAAATGCAGATCTCGAATATATAAGGCGCATCTTGAATTCACCGCCGCGGCACCGACGCCACGAGCCAGGAATGAAAGTAAAAGCCACCACTGAGCGTGGTGTGAAGCGTGGACCACACATGGCTATCTGGGCATGATGCGACCAGCACGGCTGCTCCGATGGAGGCGCCCCACTCTATCACCACGTGGGAGGCCACCGGCCGACAGAGGCGGACGCCGTTGGAGGAAGTCAGGCGCACGAAGCCTGGCATAATCAACCTGGGCAGCAAGTGGTGCCTCGTTCATCCCGGTTTGAATTTTGATGCTGTTCTAAGCTCCAACTGACGAAAAAGTGCTGGTATACTTCGTGCCTGCAATGTGTATATCCGTAGGGAATGAAACAAAAATTGCAGAAAAACCATCGCATATTGGATTAAGAATACACGTATAAGACATGGGTGGTATAGTTGAACGATCACATTCATGATTACATGGCGGACGGACCGTGGGTCACAACCATGTTCACGAGCTCACACCTGTTCTCAAACAATCAACTGTCCTTCGAATTCGCGCATCGCACCAACTAACAGAGGACATCTTAGGTGTGCGCTTGGAGCGAGATGGCACCGGTCCACTGCATACTGTACCTGGCCATCTGGGCGACGATAGGCGCGAGTGGGTGCTTGCTAGGAGTGCACAGGAGGGTTAGTGCCAAGACGTCGCCACGAGCGTGCGGGGCCCAAACTGGTGCACGTACACACACACACACACACATAGTGGTCAGAACAGGATCAGATGGCATGGCCGTGTCTCAGTCATTGCTCACCCAGTCGGCATGCTGTACTGAATGGTGAAATAGTGCACTGCGAAGTGCCGACAAGTGCTTTGGTGGAGTGCTGTGACTGACGCTGGACAGCGTGACAAACTGACGGCCCACTTATTCTGTGCAAGGGATCAAGTTCACGGAAGGTCTGCAAACTCACGAGGAGGACTGTCCCTGCTTGAAGGACAGCGTGACCTTGGCGTCGAACACCACCGACTGGAAGAGGTCGCGGTCGCCTGAAACAAAGCGTGATGCGGTTAGATGTTGTCACGACTGTTGGCTTCAGAATACATGAACGATGACCGTCTTTTGAGTTAGGCAGCCTCCGCCCGTGGCAAGAACTCCTAAATACTTGATAAGATCAACATTTGCATAGAAACTTTTTTAGTTTCATTCGTTTCAACTTTTTCTTCTGTCGGTACATGACCGATTGTACACAAGATACGTTGACCTACGACTCAAATGCATCTTAGAAATAAGCGATTCAAAACGCAGCAAAGCATGCCACCTTATTCTGGCATCACTCCGCGGCCTGGCGAGTCGGGCGTAACTCGAGCAGTCACTGGACCAATAACAGGTCTCGGTATATAGTGTCATTCCATTGGCAGGTTCCGAATTTTGTGCGTTTTCGAATTTGCTAAAATGACAAACCGTCTCGTGTACAATGAGCCCAACATTAGTTAGCAAAACGATGGTCGTAAAAACTGACCGCTTCGCACACCCGGTCCTTTTCTAATGAAGTACAATGGTACATATAAGGGACGAAAAACACGTCCTATCCAGATAACAGTGTTCACTTACAGAAATACGTCCCTGATCTTGTTTCGTCAGCTGAAAGAAGAGGAGAAAAATAATCGTTAAGGCAAGACATGTTCAGGTTAGGTTCCTTGTAGTTTTGCGATGCTAACATTAGTTCTTACACATGCCATCAAGCGTGCGGATCCGTGGTGAGCGTTCGGATGTGTTTGATGATCAAATGTAGGGGGGTTGGGGGGGGGGGGGGGCACACAGCCACCCACGCCGCTGTCGACACGACCGACAGTTCTCTCTTCCGTCACAATGTGTTGGTCTCGTCTCGCTGCGACGCGGCAGTCCACATCCGGGCTCTGGGACGCGGACGTCCAGATCTGGGCTCTGTGACGCGGCCGTCAAGATCTGGGCTCTGTGACGCGGCCGTCCAGATCTGGATCCTGCGACGCGGCCGTCAAGATCTGGGCTCTGTGACGCGGCCGTCCAGATCTGGATCCTGCGACGCGGCCGTCCAGATCTGGATCCTGCGACACGGCCGTCCAGGTCTGGGCTCTGTGACGCGGCCGTCCAGATCTGGAGGCTGCAACGCTGCCGTCCAGATTTGGAGCCTGCGACGCGGCCGTCCAGGTCTGGGCTATGCAACGCGGCCGTCCAGATCTGGAGCCTGCGACGCGGCCGTCCAGATCTAGGCCCTGCGACGTGGCTATCCAGATTACGGAAATTACGGAACATTCACATAGTTGAGTTTATTCTCACGCAACGTTTAGAAGCTAGATGTGAGTAATTACCTGCATCCTGCAAAAGCTCTAACCATAGATACTCAGATTTCTACGGCAAGCGTTCACGGTGTGGCTTTACAGAATCGCGCTCCTCGTTGCTGAAAATTGCATGAGGCTGCGATCAGTGGCTGCCACGACAACCTTTAGGGAAACATGGCGGTGGGACTGAGGCTGGCCACAGCCCTTGAGATGGGAGCATTCTCGCTGTTCAAGAGGACTAACCCGGCTCACCGCTTTGCTCGCAAGTCATGGCATTCATGTTTCGCATTTCGCTGTGCAAGCGTTCGAGAACGACTTCACAGCTCAGTGGTTTTTACACCTTAAAGCTTGCTTAGAACATTTGGACAAAGATATGAGCCCAAGGCATTACGATGCTACAAATCACATTACCAGCAGACACTGAATGTCACACCTGTAACCAGCTTCCTGCCGGTAGCATGTACACTGGATGATCAAAACCGGCCAGGTGGGGTTTGCAGGACAGAACAGTGGCGGGGTATCGCCTGATTCCCGGGGCCACGTCCCAGCGCCGGCAGGCGGCAGGCTATCTCTCTATCTCTCAGGCTTCCTCTCTACCGGCCGGTTGCCGGCAGAACACTCACATCTGTAGCGGCCGGTGGGCTCCTTGACCTCCGGCACCGGGTACACGCGCTTGGAGCGCCACTGGAAGCCGGAGGTCGAGATGGCCTTCTTCAGGAAATGCCGATATTGATCCTCCGGGGTGTCAAACGAATGAGCGTCGGTGTCCTGGTTGTCGTACTCACAGTACACCCAGTCTGGGTGGACGCTCCAATTCGGACCCTCGAGGTAATCCAGTACTGCAACATGACACCGACAGTCAGTCGGTTCTTCAACCACATGTTCAACGCAATGCCGTAGTCCACCCGAGGCCGGCCAGTCCAGATATTCTGGGCTCCAAAACCTCGCAGTATTTACTGCAGTGAAAACCGACGCACCCGCGACATGGCACAACACATCATACAAAACAGCGCAGGCATCTACCAGCGCCCGTGAAAAACAGCAGCCGCTGGCGTGTAGAGGTACAACGACGTCCCCATCTGTGGGCGCTGTCCACACTTACTCGGTTCCCTATTTCTGCCGGCCTGAGTCAGCTCCACCTGGCCGCTGACGCGCTCGTCCCCGTACCGGTCGGGCAGAGCGATGCCCAGCGAGAACGGCGTCGAGTCCACCGGGTGGTAGTAGTACTTCTGCCGCCGCTTGATGACGCGTTTCTAGAAGCAGCGCGTCAATATTTTAGAAGACGGTGAAGGCATGGTTGCGCTACTTACGTGCCACGCGTTTTTTGGAAATGCTAAGTGGGTACTACCACAACTGGGTCTACTGGGTGACGGGTGCGTGAGCATCTGTTTGCTTTAACCTTTCGGCTTTTCGCAGTTTTGAGTCACGACCAGGAGCAAAGCCAAAGGGGGCAGGGGGTCCCATCTCGTTATTTTTCACCATAGATGGCTCCGCGGCATGGTGTGTACACCCTGAGCTCCCCGCCCCAACTTCCTTCCCCTTTTAAATGCTGGTTGTGACCCTGGTCACTAGAGAGCTCAATGCCACAGGAAAGATCGGGATAACGGTTTATGTGTAGGGTAACAACTTGAACTTTCAGGGAACGGCACTTTACCCAGTTCTGCATGGCAACATGGGAAGAGTGTAGCCCTCGAACAAGCTTCCCACTGACATATGCTGAACTGCTGAAAGCGGTACGGTAACACGCATTGATCAAGCACCACATGATCATGCAGATATGAACTTGTCGATTGTGCACACAGACGTACCTGATTCGTATTGCAATTTTTAGCAATGCGTTTAACGAGATACGCTAGCGAGGGCGATTTAACTGACGCAATGTGGCAACTCAGCAGGTTCCGAAGCTTCAGTCGCCTGACCGCTGCTCATGCTGCTGGCACCTTTTGAGCAGCTCAGCCTCGGCCACAGCTGAACACTTGATGAATGAGGTGGGGGTCTCACCTAATCCGAGATCAAACGACAGCTTTCACTCACCATGTCGTCGAGGTGCTGTCGCACATACAGCGACGTCTCCGCCTTCTGTCGATCAATCATATCCTTCCGCAACTGAAACGGCAGGTGGCGCTCAGGTGAGTCCAACAGGCAACACTATCACCCCACAGCGCGCTGCCGTACTTCCTGACAGGGCAACGGTTTATCACACGACCGTCCTCCACACTACATGCTTGTTTCATTTAAGCGACCTCCTAGAGATGTTGGAGTGGCAAAACAGCCACCCCAACACCGGTGGAATACCGATGCGACAACCGAGCCGATGACACAGGTCTTTAACGCATCGTTATCAGTTCAGATCAGTCTGCAGCCTGGACGTCCAAGTTCTGCGTGTGCGCATCATTTGTGCATAGCCACAGTTAACAGAGTTACCAATTGTCGTCCATGCCAATGCAAATTATTAACAGCAGAATCTGTTCATAGGCAAGCCGTTATCCGGCATCTGTGGCAGCGTCTCTTACCATGAACAGCTTAGTATCGTTACTTCTTGGCTCGTCGTTGTCTACAATTTCCACTTCGGCCAAGTCCACAGTGTTGTAATTGGGTTTCAAGATCTCTTGGAACTGCTTCGTGGCTTCTCTGTGCTGAAAAATTGCCGGATAAGAACATAAGTGACCTGATGCGTTGTTGCTGAGCCAGGGACCTGCCCCATCGCCTTCGGCAGTCGAGAGTTTTGCATATATTTTGCGCATAAGCGTTACGCATAAGCGTTATCCGTAGCTTAAGTCCTTGTTTAAACTTCATTTGCTGGTTCTGAGGATTTGTTAACATGATGAAATTGCTTTTTCAGTTCACCGCAAACAACAGCCTTGCGCAATTATCTACATCAAGGTAACAGGTCGACCCAGTGCCAGCCAGCGGGGTCTGTCCGCTGGAATTGGCCTCACATAAAACGATGCGAGGCCAATTAAGGCCACGTAATGCGGTTAGCCTCGCTTAGATACACTAACGCCCGAAATACAGCTCGCTAGATTATATCAACGAGAGCGTTCCACATTTTGGGGGCTTTTGAGCCGAAATAGCGATCTTGATGATCATTGGGATCAGTTGACAGCCCTGCACTTCTTAAGACCTAATCCGCTCTAGTTTTTAAGCTGCACGCCCGCGAGGAAGTGCAGAGATTTTCGAAGAGACTATTTCGCCGTCACCCAGGCATCCATGACGCCATAATAATGCCATTCAAATCCTGCAATTCCATTAGCCACACAACGATCACGACCAATAAAAACAATTGTCGAGTCATTCATATCTGGCGTTTGTGAGCATGATTTCCAGATATAACGACCGTCAAGTGGCTCTCAATCAATGTTGTGCGGGGTACGATGACGTTATCATACAATGACGCATTGAGGAGCACGTCTACTAAAAAGAGAAATTGTGTTGTCTGGAGCAGCCCTTTTCACTCAAAAGTACGCCAATAGTTGTGAGTGAGCTTATTTCATCATATCTGGTAGTTGTTTCCATATTTTCAAATGTGGAACATTCTCTTTAAATGCAGGTACTACGATGTCTTCTTCTACACAACCAAGGTTCAAGTGAGATAAGGCAGAGATGAGTCGGTCTACACAGGGAAATCAAGCTAAACGCACACACACAAACAAACACACACACACAAACACGCACACACACACAAACACACACACACAAACACACAAACACGCACACCCGTACGCCAGGGCATACCGCATCGGCGCGGTAATCAGATGGACAATCACCATAAAGAACGGCATGTTCAGCCTACCGCCGACTAGTCAGCAACCTTTAGACGGCACAGAACGGACAGAAGGGTAGCGATTCCTAACCTGAACCTATGTACCTTTCTCATGGAGCGAGTCATTATGGGCAAAATGCGTTTTTGCCATTCGATGAACGCCAGAGCTAACTAGAAAATAACTGCAATCATTCATTGAGAAGTAAACGGTGATAATATAGTGAATGCCGGCTAAAATGACCACACACAGCTCTGTAGGAACACTAAAGGAAGAGTAAATATAGCCCACCATGCGATCCATATCCTCAGGCCCAGTTAAAGTGTCAATAAGATGAAGCCTTTCTTGCGAAGAGGACATAACAGCGCGGAAAAACGGTGCCGCTTTTGACCGCGAACGACGTGCAGTTTGCATTTCACAAACATCGTTTTAGACAGGACCTCCATCCTTTAACGAACATAACCTGATTGATACACAGCGCTGGCGCATCGCCAGCCGGTCCTCATTTCACTCGAACAAGCGAGGACATCGTACCACATATCCTGTAACGACAGCGAGAAGCTGTCGAGGGCAGACCGAAGCCCGTTCAGCACGGCCTGACGGGCTGACTCACCACGGGGCGCAGGTCTGGGTGGTACAGCACGTAACCGTTGTTGTCGACCAAGAAAGAATAGCCGTTGACGCCGAGCTGCAGACATGGAGGACAGTTGAAGGAGGTGCGCTTTAAATGCTCCGCTGGCCGATGCATTCGCACTGTTCATCCTGCACTGTAATGTCATAAGTACTCGCCACGTACAATGTAAAAGTTATAGCACCACAGCCTGGAAGCTTTACGCCGTAAAAGTTGCGACTCCCGGCACATTTTGACCTATTTCACCTTTCAGCAGTACCAGCATTGTCCCATCCATTGATCCTCACAGCAACGCCCTCGAACGAAGCCAGCTGTAACTCACAGGGTGGCCAACGGCCACTCAATAGAAGTCCCGCCGACTCGTCCGTCAGCTGGCGGCCGCCGGCGGCACCTGAGCCTGCCGGCGGCCGCGACAGGTGCCGCCACGTGTCCGACGCGGCTCACCTTGTGTGGCGGCGCGTGCTTCTGGATGTCGCTCAGCGGCACGTCCGTCCCGGCCACGCCCAGCAACCGGGCCACGCGCTTCTGCAACAGGGCGGCGCCGGGCGGCGCACCGTCAGAGACCCAACGCTAGCGCGCAGTCGGTCCCGGTCCCCGCTGGGGGACAGACGTCCCCGCCGATCCCCACCTCGGTCCACACACCGCGTCGACACGAGCCCCAGCTGATCGGTCAGCTCCCGAACCACGCCCCGACCGGCCACCGCCGTCCACCCCAAGTATGGACGTACCAGTGCCGAGCCCGCGCCCAGGGCCGGGCACTGCGGGCTCCCAAGCCCCAGGGCCGGTCTGTCGACCCGGTCCGCAGGCGTCCCCGGCCCCCGAGCCTCGGCTGAGCTCGCCAGACGTGACCGGCCGAGCCCCAGTTCACAGACGTCGGCAAGATGCGGCATGCTTGTATGTACAGTCAGGATTTAGCGCTGACAGCATGACCCCGAAAAGCTTAGAGAAGAAAATGTTGACAAACTGGCAGTTTGTCACGGCAGCGCTCGATGCATAGTATGACGCAGTTGAACTGCAAAATTCGCCTTGCGGGATTTAGAAGCTTTCTGTAAAAATACGCATACCAAAAGTCGTTTCAGCAGGTCGTCAGCAGAAAGCATGCAGTGCGGTTGTATGAAATATTTCCTAACCAGTTCACTCTTCACATCTCTAGTATCCGCGGAGCCCTGTGACCCAACAGTCGGAGGATGAACGCCTTCCATTCTGCCGCAGGTTAACAACATCTCTCTGCACATACAGCTAGACCTAGTTACCTCATGGACCCTACGCTGTCACAGTTACCCGGCTAAGGCACGCCTACGTACTCCTAACTCCTCTACACTAACGTCTCGCCTACTGACCAGCTAAAGTGCGTCTCCGCCTAGGCCTGGGCCAGCTCACAGAACTAATCCGCGGGCCGGTGCACTCAGAGTTTCACGCGGTGTCGACACATCCGGCCGCCCAGCAGCAATTTCCAATCCCGCTGGCTCCACTGCAGACAAAAGTCCCATGGCTCACGCGGTGGCGCCTGAGCCATGGGACCGCGGATTGGTGCTGACGACCCGGGCGCGGAAAGCCTGCGTTAGTCTGCGATTCAACCCCTGATCACGGCCCCTGCATCTCCACCGCGTAAACCAGAAGTGCGAGGCCGCCGATTCGCATTGTGGTGCCCCGCCGTGCGCGCCAGGGGAGCGCGGCGTCTCCCGTCGCTGAGGTCTACCCCGGCTGACGCCAGCGGCGTCGGTGGAGGCCTCCACCCAGTCCCAGGGCGGCGCACCGGCCGCAGGGCCGGACGGGGGCGGCGTGGGCGGGCACACATGCTCTGTCAAAGACGGCGCCGCAACGCGCGAGAGATTACATACCGCTACGCAAAACGCGGGCGCCACCTCCCGGTGGACGGTCGGGTCAGTTTTCGGCGCAGCACACGAGCAGGCCCACGAGGCTGAGCTCGCGCCGGTTGGAGGATCGGCGTAGGACTGCTCGCGTGCGGCTCGCGCTAGCAACGCTGGCTGGCGCGGGCCAATCACGGCTAGAGGACCAAGTCAGCAGCCAATCAGGCGCTGGCCTGAGCTGGTTATGATCTGACATCGATCAGGCCAACAGTCGGGCCGTTTCACCGGGAGGTGGCACCCCTAACTAGCTGTCGGACGCTATCACGCCGCCCGACTGGAAAGCTGCAGCTAAACTCAGAACGGTACAGCATTCCTGGAACAGTGGATACCTCTTGGGTACGGTACACCCACTGAGTGTTATTGACGAAAACCTTTTCCGTCACGTTCTGTAAAGCAACGGCACCGGTCAGAGGCCACGAGGGACCGGCAGTAGCTAGCTGATCTTCAAATGGGTGAATACAGAGCTTGCTTAGAGGTTTTGCTTCCACGCTTAGAGCTCGCCTAAGCCAGAGTACTTCAAACAAGTGGGTTATTTTGTATACTCCTTATTTAGTTACATCATAAAGGGTCCGACTTAAGTGACTGGCAAGTGATCCAGGATATAACCCTCACCATTTTCCGTTTTCGTATTATGTGAATAACAATATAAAGTAACATTTGGTGTGAACAATGCAAACAGGCGTGGCCCTGTGGGATATCTTCGTCCGTGCAGCTCGTGTTGGGCCGCTGAGCGAGGCCACAAGATCATAGGGGCTCCGGCCAGCTGACGGAGCAGACCGGGTCGCGTTCCAGCTGCGCCCTCTGGAGCCCAATGATCGACGGCGCCCCGGCTGCCGGCCGACCCTTACCCCCTTGCTGTTCTTGTCGAAGACGGGCATGGAGATGGAGGTCATGAGGCGGTAGCCGCGGCGGGTCGCCTCGCTGCCAGTGCGCCCCTGTCGACGACATGTGACCCAGTCAGCGGCGTCAGCTCGCCACGGGCGCCCCCGTCCCCTCCCCGGCCTCAGGCCAGCTGACGCTCCGGCAGCGCCGAACGATGAGCGGTACACTCCCCCCTCCCCCCGCGCGAGACCGACCCCAACCGAGTCACGGGACGGCGTCAAGCAAAGCGTCTGGGTCCGAGCTATCAGCGGCTGGCTACACAACGGACCTCGGCCGACGTGGGAGAGAGCCGAGCCAGATACACGAGATCCACTGCGGGCCAACATGTACATTTCTACTGGGGTTCAGCCACTGGAACACCGTTCTGCGCGCTTCGCATGTGATGACAACTGTAGGTATATCTTTAGATGACAGGTGGTTGCCGAAACGGTTTTATGCTCTTGCTTGAAAATCACCAGTTATTTCTTCCCCAGTCAAGCGGCGGCATCCATTTGAAGCAGTTGCCTTACATTAGTACGCGACATTCAGATGCCGTGCAACCTTCATGTGCGGAGCTTTAGACCTCCTGAGTGTTGTTCTGAAGGTGCTTCTAAAATTCGTACGATCACTAAATGCCGTGAAAAAGGTTGAATATCGATAATTTCAACGACGGAAACAGAACTGAGTTATCTCGACTGGAAGGCTCTTGACGACTTTTAACGCACCTTATCCCTGACTACACACGAGGTTTTGGTGTACCTCAAGCACACACAGTTTCAAGTTACACATAACTAGAAATACAAGGGCCTAAACACACATTCACGAGCTGCTTATTCATTGCGCCAATTATTAATTACAGAGCCGCGAAACAGACTGTACATGAACACGTAGGCAACTCTCAGGCTAATGACTGTCGTTGCAGCTCCCGTTTCCAAGGCAACGCCCTCTGAAGAGGGTTCGCCTTAGATTCAAGCATAAGCACGAAGCCCTGAATCTGGCGCCCCTGCCCAAGATACGAAGCAGGCAGGCCAACGGCTCTTACTCGTCATGCGACTCAGCCAGGACGCACACACCACGCACACGTCACAGGCGGCATGCGCCATGCGAAGCGGACTGTTGGCCTCTACAAACCTGGTGCTTCCGTATGTTCAGTATCAACTGTCCCTGAGTGATTTTAGTGCTAGTAAGCGCGGCAAGCCGTGGCGGTGGCGGCGGCGGCGGCCGCTGGTGGCGCCTCCTGAGCCTGCCGGCTCGGTGGCGCGCGTGGCGCACCCTGTGACGCCGCACCCTCCTCGGCCGTGCATGCTTGGGTGCAGGACACACAGGGTAAACACGGCGCGTGCGGCTCTAGCATGGATCGAGTCGGAGCCGGCGCTCCTCCCCCGGCCGACACCACCCGCCCCGCACACCAGCCGAGTGCACCCGGCCGCAGACCGGAACACCCGCACACTGCACCCGGGCGAAGGCCGGCCGGACGGGGCTCTTCAAATTCGAGGGATGCCGTTAGCGCGGTTCGGCACTGAGGCTCAATGGTGATCCTTTGGCTCCTCCACCAATGCTGGCTTCAGCAAGTCGTTAAAATTGCGTCGGCAGAGTCATGCATAGACACGAAGTTTGAGGAGCCCCGGGCGCTGCGGCGACGAACGCCGCTCTCTGAGAACAGGTGTGATATGGATTGTGCGGGCAGGAGACAGCTGGGAGGGGACCCAGCATCGCCGCCAGCCACCCCTCCCCACAGCTGCGTCTGCCGGGCGCACTCCTCGCACCGAGCTTCATCCATGATAAGGTATTTATGTACAATGCTTCGTACAGTGAGAGCCACACACGATAACATTCAAGCAGCTAACCGAACATTCAAAAGCGGTGAGAGAAAAGACGTGGGTGCAGAAAAGGCGAGGAAACTCTTGAGAAGGTAACCGAAAGACTCTGAGTGCTGCCACCCTCCGGAACTTACAATGTATAATGTCCACTTATTGCTGAGGCCTCTCTCACGTAGGTCTAGCTACAAAGAACGAGGACAAACTTTTAGCCACAGACAACACAGGTGCGTGCCTCCTGCCAACACTTGACAGTGGTATGACGCTCTCCACCCACGAACAGAACAGCGACCGCGACACAGTCCCCGCCACGGGCAAGCGGTCGTCCAGGTCAGGGGCATCGCTCGAGGTACGAGACTCGGGTTGGCACAGCCACGGGAGCGTTTCAAGCTCTTGTCTGATTCTGGAGCGGCAAGGCTATCTAAACAGGACTGGACGTTGGATTCCAATAGCAAACTGATCAGGTTCCGCCCCGCCCCGTGCTGGTCGTTCCCGCATGCTGACTTTTTGGCGAGCGTTGTCCGACGTGTGCAAGTATCCATGTTCAAGGTTCAGCGCGCGGTGCAATATTTGGACGGACGTCAGAAATCCCTCAGGACATCAATCCGACAGGATAAGCTAGGAATTCGTCAAAATATGATGTGGCATAAATGCGGTACCGTTCACCAAGACATCTTCACCAGAGTTTTTTTTCCAAAACAGCCTCCGTATGACGTGGCATAGCCGCACGATGGCGGCACATCGTGACGGTGTCACACTTTGAGCTGCTGCAGCAGATTGAGCACCCAATCTTTTGGCATAAAATTGCTTTACCTTGTAAGATCGCTAGGCAATGAAGGGTCAAAGTCATGCCATGGCTCTCTCAACAAGGACCATTCCTAGGGACTCGTTCAATCTGATACAATAACGGGCTGGTAGACGAAGCGATACCTTTTTGAAATGGTTTCTTTGGCACTAAGATGATGAAATTTAAGATTACGACGAATCGCATTGACCTTGGGTCAGGCATGAAGGCGAGGTCGAGGTGAAAACCTTTTTTGGGCTGAAAACCTTGCTTTAAGGAGCAGCAGCACAAGCAGTTATTGACGCTCATTTTGAATTCACTGATCTCATGGAGAAAAATGCGTTATTCGACCTTCATAAAAGTTTAAAGAGGTCACTGCCTTAACATAAGCCCGATAAACCTTTTTCAGAAACATACAACCTAGCGTAACACATCTTTGGGGCTTGTTGAAATTTAAATTCAAAACAATCCCGCAGGTTTTTGGTCGCTATGACCTTTTGAAGATCAAATGAGGTCACTGACCTGAGATAAACACCAATGATCTTTTGATTAGTAGAAGCATCGGGGTAAAATGTCATGCAACAAGGCAGTATGAAGGAGCTTCGGACACCGGTCTGGAGTTGGATCTTCTTTACTGTATTTGACCTATAGGTCAATAAATCTATGAACTTGAAAATTTGGCACAAGTAAGTCCACATACAAGCCTATCTCTGTGAGTTTAGTGCCTCTTGCTCTCTCAGTTGTTTATATCTCAGAGGAGCCTAATTGACCTCCCCCCACCCGAACGGTGCCATATTTAACCGGCCCCCGGGCGCACGTTAAATCCTTTATTGTGGACA